CAGATTGTTCCTGATCTGCTGAATACTTACAGCACTTTCGGTTCTCATTTCTTACACTGCACACTGCCCAACCTTTCATCAAACACGAACGATGAAATTCACCTCAATCTAAAATTATGTCGTAAGTACACCAACATCATGGTTATTCAAGCATTTATTTTCTGTAATCCTGCTGGAATGTAAATTGTATTTATTGATCTTAGTCATACCATAGCTTACTATCAGAAGAAGATCACCTGATGTATGTCACTTCAGAGTCACTGTCACATGAAACCAAAAAAGCCAAACTGTACATAACTACTTTTCTTTTCCATGTTGAAATCTCCTTCCTCCGTTCTTCTTAAACTGTTCACAACCACTAAGAATAATTTCCTTCCAAACCTTTTTAAGTACCACTTCATCTGAAACTTGTCTAGTAGGTGCTGTGATTGATTGGTATTCTGCCCCTCCTTCACATTAGGGAACTGCCTAACCTTTGACTGATATTTCTCTTATGGCGCAATAGCTCCATTCCTCTAGGGGAGAACAGACCTGAACCTTTGATGCTCAATGCAGCTACAAATCACATGATCTTCAAGGCCAGGGAACACTGCTACCTGCAGGTCAGACATTTATCGGTTAAAGCAAGTTCCAGCAACTGTTAAGATAGTGTCCAGAGATGGACAAACTTCAGTAGCACCCAAATGTTCATATAACATGTACAGTAGGTGAATGGGGTTAATTGATTGTCTGGCTAAGTATAACAAGACAATAGTGGGAAGTGTTGTAACACTTCCCCCAATTCTGAACCAAATGACATGGGTTCAAGTCCCACCTGCCCTAGAGGTATGTTATAATATTTCTAACAGGCTCATTAACAATAATTTAAAGGTGCGATAAGTAAATGGAAGGAGCTGTAAGCCTGCATAGTTAATAAACTCTATCCCCAAAGCAAAGTGTCTTGTCTCCTGTGTTACTGATTGGTTTGGATCTAGGCTGACACTAAACAAAGGTGCTGCATCACAGTACAGGATTAATATATGCTCACAGCCACTTCTCAATGTGATGCTGCCCATTCTTTTCAATGATTTGAGCATCCAGCCAGCACTAACCACTGATTGGACACATCAGCAGAAGGCTGAGAGGCAAACACCATTTAAAGCTAAGATAACACGGTGTAGAGCTGGATGAACACAGCAGGCCAAGCAGCATCAGAGGAGCAGGAAAGCTGACGGTTCTCGAGCATCGGCAGTTCCTACTATCTCTGTAACCATTTAAAGCTATCCTGTTCCTTATAAAGGGAAGGTGTGTGGAGGTTGAAGCAGATACTGGCAGTAATACAGGAAGTGAATCGGACTTTGGAGATGTTGAATATTGGGGTAACATTTGAGAGATCAAATAGTGAGGTTTCGGGACACTGCAGTGGAGACTTGTTGGAGAGAGTGGGAGGAGGAGAGCTGTCCTGTACCTGGCAAGGAGTCTAGAGGCCCTGAAGGCACATGCTGATGAGGCAGTTGGAGCAAATGCCCATGGATGCCAGTGTTAGCGGCATAGACCTTAAAAACCAGATGCAGTGCCACACATAGTCCAATGGTGAGTGAAGGAATCTTTCATTGCCACACCAAGTCAACTACAGCATAAACCTCACTGTTCAGTTCACCATTACCTCCATGACTGACCTCCCAGTAATCACCATGATTCACCGATATATAGTTGACATTCAGACACTGCAGTGCAATTTTGCATGTAGGCTGGGATCCTGTTGGAGCGACAGAGGTGTCAGAGAACCGGGAGGGAACACCCATCAGTTTCAATGTGAATTGCCCAATGCTGCGTACCAGAGTCAACCATATCATTTGCAAATAAACTTATCACTCAGCAGCCGTACTTCGGTTTGCCATGTTTGGTGATTGAAATGAAACTGACTGCCGCAGAATTAAGACAGTCAAGATACCAGATATTAATCTGCACAATTTATCATCTATATTCACACATCGAGGGAGCAGAATTGACAGTAACTGGTTGGGATAGAAACCTTAAAATAAGCAAAAAAGCCCCTCTGTACCTGCCCCACTAGCCCCTGTTGGCTTCTGCAACTTGAAATGACTGGACAAAAGCAATCAAACACCTCTAGAATCAAAGCATTGAACAGAAGGAATCAACCAGAAACTAATCTGTGAAGAGTGGTGTTCTGTATAAACAGTGTGGAGACGGCCTGGCTGTGCAGTGTTAGGAGGAGGAATTAGCTCAAGTCCCATGTTACGAAAGGTGACACTGACATCAAATGAGCATTGCACATTGAATGAATTGATGACATTGTTATTCTGAATACATCTTTCTTCCTCGTGGATTTGCAGGATCTTGCACAGACAGCACCGGTGGTACTGCGAATCCGCTGGGAAGAAAGACGATCCAACACCAGCGTCCTCGACCAGGCCAACATTCCCAGCATCAAGGCATTGATCGTCCTTAATCAGCTATGATGGGTTGGACATGCCGTCCGCATGACCGACAGGAGACTCTTCGAGCAGGGGCTCTACTCCCAGCTCCGAAACGGCACGCAATCGCCAGGTGGACAGAGGAAGCGCTTCAATGACACCCTCAAGGCCTCACTGGTGAAGTGCAACATTCCCACGGGCACCTGGGAATCACTGGCTCAAGACGGTCCAAAGTGGAGGAGGAGGAGCATCCGGGAAGGCATCGAGCATATCGAGACTGGCAAAAACAGCGAAAGGAGCTCGCTGCCACAACAATGCCCCACTCACCCCCTTCCCATGAGCATCACCTGCCCCAAGTGTTACAGAGCCTGCGGTAGCCGTATTGGCCTGTACAGCCACATACAAACACCCTGCGAGTGGAAGAGAGTTGTCCTGGTGTGCGAGAAACCGCCGACAATGAATGACTGAATAGTTCTGGTGGTTGGTCATCACGTGTGCTATCACACGCACCAATATTATGTCCACCACAATTTACCAATGTATTGCTGCAACACCATTTTGGAAATCTCAAAGGCAATTGCAGGACATGGAAACAAACAAACAATCCCAGTTTCTCATTCTAGATGGGGATAAGGGATGGATGATCACCATCGGGGAGGAACTGAGGCAGATGTTCACCATGAACGAAGAAATGCCAGGTGTAAGGATGACGAGTGACAAAACAGATGCAGCCTTGGGACATTTAAGATGAACAGAATATTGCATTTACTACTGTGAAAAAGTGAGGGTGGTTTGATGTCCCCTGACCATTCCCACGAGGGAACAGCTAGGTTTCAGGCACAGCCTGCCTTTCTGACGGAGCTGGGGTTTGAATTGCCAGAAATGTGGACCTCAGTCCTGACACAAAACAATAGGAGCAGAGTGACGATCTGACTGTGGTGATTGCTGCTCCTCAGAATATCTGGGCCACTGTCTTGCAGTAAAGTGGGTGGCAGAGTAACTACTCAACTGAGATGAAGCATATCACATGGTGCGAAAACAGACACAGGAAAAAATGCAGCAACTGTCTCTTCGTCAAATTATTTTGAAGATTTGGCACCATTACCCTTATGGGATCCTTGTTTCTTGTTACAAGATGTAAATCAACAAAGATGTCAATGTCCAACGTTAATATGTACTGTCCAATGGGACAATGCAGCATTGTGTATGATCAATGTAAAGAATTTCTAAAACAGTCATGTGCTATTACAAAACTGAAGTATTGCTGAAGAAAAGACACTTTGTGGAAGCTTTCCGCCTTGCGCTCATCAGGACATGGGCAAGAATACGGACGTAAATGCGAATTATATTTTATACCATATGAAATTCATTATCAAAATGATGTATTCTCCATGGCAACACCTCTACCAGTCACAGTCCACTTGCCAACAAATCAGTATTCTGTTCTCATACAGTAGAAAAATGTCATTTCTCATTATATTGTATTCTGACAAATTGTCCTAATGAGCGCAAGACAAAAATCTTAGATCCAACATTCTGAATTTCTAAAAACTTCCAGAAACTAACAAAAACCAAAAGAATTGCAGATGCTGTAAATCAGAAACAAAACCAGAAATTGCTGGAAAAGCTCAGCAAGTCTGGCATCATCTGTAGAGAGAAATCACAGTTAACGTTTCGGGTCCGGTGACCCTTCCTCAGAACTAGGGAAGCTCCCCAGTTCTGATGAAGGGTCACTGGACCCAAAACATTAACTCTGATTTCTATTTACAGATGCTGCTAGACCTGCTGAGCTTTTCCAGTAATTTCTGGTCTTGTTTCAATAAACTAAGAGATTACTAGTAAATGCATTAAAATAGCTTAACCTTGGACCTGCAGGGGAAGGCAGTGGCCTACTGGAATTGTCACTGGGCTTGTCATCCTGAGTCATAGGTTTATGGTAACATGTGAAAACACAGTGAAATTTGACTTCAATAAAAATCTAGAATTTAGGCAACAAATGATGACAAATGGTGATCATATAACCATTGTGGATTGTCAAATAAAACCCCGTCCTGTTTTCTAATGTCTGTCAAGGAGGATAATTTGCCATCCTTACGTTGTTAGGCTTCAAGGGCAAGTGATGGCCTAGTGGTATTATCATTAGACTGTTAATTCAGAGATCCAGTAGTGTTCTGGGGACCCGGGTTTGAATCCTGCCATGACAGATTTGGAATCTGAATTCAGTAAATATCTAGAATTAGTGTAATGATGACCACAAAACCATTGTCAACTGTCAGAAACAAAAAAATCTGGTTCACGAATGTTCTTTAGGGAAGGAAACTGCCATCCTTACCTGGTCTGATCTACACGTGACTCCAGACCCAAAGCAACGTAGTTGACACTTAACCGCCCTCTAGGCGATTACGGATGAGTAATAAATATTGGCCAGTGATACCCAAATCCTATGAATAAATAATGAAGACCCACAGCAACGTGGTTGAGTCTTGACTGCCCTCTGGGCAATTAGGGTTTAGCCATTAATGCTGGCATAGCCATTGGCATCAACATCCCGTGAGCTAATATTTTTTAAAAAAGGAACAACTCTACATTTATACAGCACCTTTAATGTGATAGAACATTTCAAGGCACTTTACAGGAGCATTATCAAACAAAATTTGATATTGAGCCACTTAAGGAGTTATTAGGGCAAACTATCAAATAGTTGGGTCAAAGTAGTAGGTTTTAAGGATGGTCTTCAAGGTGGAAAGAGAGAAGGAGAGCTTTGGGAGGGTGAGGAAGGTGGAAATGCAGAACTTGGGGGCCTAGGCAGCTGAAAGCAGTATTGAACGTAAACAATAATTTAATCGAGATGTCATCAACCAAAATGTTGACTCTCTTTTCTCTCTTCATCCGAACTGTGGAGTATTTCCAGCATTTTCTGATTCTTCCAGATTTCCAGCAGCATTTTGGTTTCTTCATTTTGAATCCACCCTGGTTTTTGTGTACAAATTATGATACACAAAGGCAGTAATTTTTAGAATGCTTGTTGCAGTTAGGATACACAAAAGCAGTAATTGCAACTGAGGTCACAGCTAAAACACAACAATTTGATACACTGATTCAATTCCTTAGCTTGGCTCTCAATTAATGTAACTATGAAGGCTGATGCAACCTTTAAAACAGAGCACTAAATTAAAATGACACAATTTGTTAAAAAACAGTAAACTTCAGGATACTTTCAGCCGTTTTACTATAACATCAGAAATTTAGTCTTTGCAATATCCATCACAAAACAATTAAAGCCTCTCAAAGCTCGCTCACGAGAAACCATGCAATTGAACCAAAGCAGGGTTAGATCTGGAAGCTAAACTGTTTTCTCTCTGAAACTCTAAAAGAAATAACGCTAATTAATATTTGGGAAATAAAATATGATTCCTTAGGTCTTCAAAATGCTTGTATCCTACTTAAATGTCAACTGAAAATTCATATTATTTATTGTGCAATATATTTTATCTTTGATGAAAGAACACAGTCCTGAATTGTGTCTTGCTCTCTCCCAGATCTGCACTACCTGCTGAGTATTTCCAGCATTTTCTGTATTTATCCCAATATGTTTTTTTCTTTCATTTGTTGAACTTTCATTTAAGTTCATTAAATCTTTCAGCACTGAAGAAACAAGTTTTTTCTTGTCCTCTCTGCAAACAGGCAACACTATCCTGAATTCATTGAACCTGTTGCAGAATTGGGATGTTCTGATGTTAAATATGTCCTGATCATTTGTCTTAAAAATAGAGGAGTGCAAAGCAGACCAAAGCTGCCACGATTGTATAAACAGTCACAAAAGCAAGTTTCCTTGAGATTGTTTGCTATACAAAAGAGGCAGGGGTCAAGGTAATTATTAGCCTGGACAAAAGAGATATCTCAGTCTTCGCTAGGAATTCCAGTGCATTTGATTAGTGGTATGTCTTAATGAGTTATCCTTGGAGAAGGCTGAGGGAAGACCTGATTGAAGTGTACAAAACTATGAAGGACACAGACAGGATCAATAGGAATAATCTTTTCCCCTTAGTAGAGGGATCAGTTTCCAGGAGCAGGTTAGAGGGCAAATTAAGGAGAATTTTTTTTTCACTTTGAAGCTAGTGAGCATCTGGAACTCAATGCCTAAAAGGGTAGGAGAGATAGGAACTATTTACAACATTTGAAAAGTATTTAGATGAACATTTGAAGTGCCATTGCATACAACACTGTGGGCGAGGTGCTGCACAAAGGGATTAGGACAGATAGATGCTTAATGACCTGACACAAACATAGAGTCACAGAGATGTACAGCACGAAAGCAGGCCCTTTGGTCTGACTGGTCCATGCCAACCAGATATCCTAAACTGATCCAGTCCCATTTGTGAGCATTTGACCCATATCCTCTAAATCCTTCCTACTCATGTAGCCATCCAGATGCCTTTTAAATGTTGTAATTGTACCATCCTCTACCTCTTCCTACAGTCCTACGCAGCCACTCTCTATAGCTCAAACCCTCCATCCTGGCTACATGTTGGGATAAATACAGAAAATGCTGGACATACTCAGCAGGTCATGCAGATCTGGGAGACAGCAAGACACGATTCAGGACCGTGTTCTTTCATCAAAGATATTGTAACATTTTCTGTACCCTTTCAAGTTGAACAACATCTTTCCTATAGCAGGGAGACCAGAATTGTACATGGTATTTTAAAAGTGGCCTAACCAATGTCCTGTATTGCTGTAACATGACATCTCAACTCCTATACTCAATGCCCTGAACATGAAGGCAAGCATACCAAATAGCTTCTTCACCATCCTGTCTACCTGTGACTCTACTTTCAAGGAACTACGAAACTGCACCCCAAGGTCTCTTTGTTTGGTAACATGGTAGGCTAAAGGACCTCTTTCTGCACCATGGGTCTATGGCTGTGTGATGGGAATAAATGCTGAAAACATTTCTAAATTTAGATGAGAGTGCTTATTTCTCAGTTGCCCAAAGTTCCAATTTATCATAAATATAGTTAAATTTTGCCAAAGTAATTCCAAAATGACATTAAAAATGTCAATGTTTGAGTAAAATCAGACCAATTAGATGTATTTTGTTAGGGTGTATATGGACACTAAAGTTTTAAAATTACTTCTTTAACATACTAAATAAAGACTAGTCTACTCTGATGCTCATTACCGTTTGTCTGAAGCTTGTGTGATGTAAGTGATTGATCAAATAATTTAAGTTTTAATATTTATTCATTCTCTACTTCCTGTCTCCATTTCCAGGATGTTAACTCAGCTATTTTAGAGACGTTTGCTTAGCTATTGTTTCCACAATGAAACAATACTGTTTTCGATTAACTGTACTCTTTAAACTGTGTTAGAAGTTGCTGAGAATCACTGGCATTTAATTTAATCAGTATGGTACAAAGTGAAAAATTTAATTCATTACATTGAAAAACTCAGCGCCACATAGGTATGTAGATCTGCAATTTACCCAAGCTCAAAGTAGCCCATGCAGACACAGCTCACAACACACAATCTAGATTATAACTGTAGTGTTATTTCTTTTCTTCCCATTGTTTAAGTGCAGATGGCATGAAACTTCATACTCTCATTATAACATTTTCCTAAAATCCTTGCGATACCACTATAATGTAAACAGAACCAAGTGTCAAACACTTACTTTTGGAAGTCACTAGATAGGGTTATGCAGTCACCTAGAGAGGTAAACACTTGACCCAACCAAAGACAGAAATCAAAGAAGCAAAAATCCCCTGGCCTAATACAGACTGGTTACATGTCCAGTTTTGGCCGTTTATAGGTTTTGCGCTCCGTCCGTCGGCTATGGGATGATGAAGAGCCAGACTCCGCAGTTTCTTCTTCGTCGGGCTGCGTAAATGAGTCAGTCATCTCTATCCTACGAGGACAAGGTGGATGCTGCAACAATGGAAGGAGAGCCTGGATGCAATCTGCAAGCCGCTCCAGGGGTTGCCGGATGCCTGCAGCCAATTCTTGAAGATCAATCCGTAGCTCTCTCAATTCCTGCCTGATACCGTGCAACTCCTTATTGCCATCCCCAAGTAATACATTGTGTTGCTCCTGGATGCCCAAGAATTCTTCCTCTGAAATTTGCTTATGTAACCTTTTCCCTCGAGGCCTTTCTTCTTGAAGATTCGGTGGTGATGCAATGTCTGGTGAAGAATAATCCGCATCAAAATTTGGACTAATGTCTTCCTGTTTCACTTCCACAATGGTTTCTGTGAGACATATAATGTAGAGATGAAAAGATACTGTTCGCCCAACATGCACACTGATGCTTTTCAGAGGCTGTCAGTTCACATTTCTGCTTGAATTCCATAAGCTTGCACCAAAGTGCATGCCTAGGATTCAAGTATCCTCACTTGGCCCAGATTTTGCTGCATCAGGACATCTAAAGGCATTTGCCATTAGTTGTGATTTGCTTGTGCATATTTAGATTTTTAGAAATGGTCACAAATTGATCAAAGTGTGAGCTAATAATATTGCAGCAAAGGAATAAGGGCATCACGGACCTGACTGAACAGCTGTTCTAGGATCTGAAGTAGGCCATTCAGCCCTCAAGACTGTTCCTCCATTCAAATAGCATCATGACTGATCAGATTATGGCCATAACTCCACATTACCACTTAACCCTGATAGTTATTGACTCCGTGATAGTCATGAATCTATCTGTCTCTGCCTCCCAAATACTTAATGTTTTACATAATGAGGCTGAGGGGTGAACTTTATAGAGGTTTATGAAATCATGAGGGTCATAGATAAGATGAATAACCATAGTCTTTTCCCCAGGGTAGGGGAGTCCAAAACTAGAAGGCATAGGTTTAAGGTGAGGGGGGATAGATTTAAAAGAGACCTGAGGGGCAACTTTTTCAGAGGGTAGTGCGTATATGAAACTGGCTGCCACAGGAAGTGGTCGAGACAGGTACAATTACAACATATATAAGGTGTCTGGATGGGTATATGAATAGGAAAGGTTTAGAAGGATACGGGCCAATCACAGGCAAATGGGATTAGTTCAGTTTAGGAAACCTGGTTGGGCCAAAGGGCCTATTTCTATACTATATGACTCTATCTCCAGCACTTTCTGAAGAGAGAGCTAAGACTTGTGACCCTCTGTCTATGGTGGTAGATTCCTTTTCTAAAAAAATATCCCTAGTTCTAGTTTCTGCCACAAGGAGACACACCCTTTCAGGTTCCACCTTATCAAGCCCTCTCAGAATCTCATCTGTATCAATAAAATCACTTCTCATTCTTCTAAACTCCAATGCCTACAGATCCAACCTACAAAACCGCTCCTCATAAGATAACCGTCATCCAACCCAGGAACCAGTTGAATGGACCATCTTTGAGTGAATTTCCTTAACCAATCAGAATGAAAGGCTGATGTATGAACAACTTGAGGACTGATAAGGAAGTGGAATCACAGCGGGTAACATCGATATCAATTCAGGACTTTAAAAAGGAGAGTGAAAAAAGATTAATTTTCCATGCCTTTAAAATGGTGTTTACATTTGTAGTGATTTAACTGTATTTTCTAAGGCATGTCCAGTTCCTATTTACTTGGGAAACTCAGCAGTTTCACAGTTTGTTGCTTGCCACGATGAGGAAGAGGACAAGTCAACTTTTTTATTCAGAACTTGACCATGGTTGGCACAATTCAACACAGACTTCCAGGTACTGATATTTGACTTAGCATCTGCTGCTCGCCTTCAGATGCCATACATGATTTCTAAGTATCAGAGAACTCCATTAGCCTCATTGTTATTTTGGCCCAACATCTTTCTTTATTTGTTGAACAAAAATCAGGAAATAATATCTGGTAACATTCAGTATTCATCTGTTCCCATTAAAATATTCTTTTGTTATTCACACCAGAATGTTGGGGGCATTGCAATGCTATTATGAGTAGAATAAGGAAAGTGACAATGCATTCTTTGTGAAACTACATTTAGAAACAGTGGATTATCTACAGGAAAGTAAATGGAATGAAAATCCAATAGAATGTGTTTGGGGATAGTAAGAACTGCCAATGCTGGAGTCAGAGATAACACAGTGTGGAGCTGGAGGAACACAGCAGGCCAGCAGCATCAGAGGAGCAGGAAAGCTGACGTATCCGGTCGGGACCCTTCTTCAGAAATGGGAGAGGGGGAAGGGAGCTCAGAAATAAATAGAGGAGCGGTGGGGCTGGAGAAGGTAGGTGAGATGGTGATAGGTGATTGCAGGTAGGCAGTGGTGGGGATTGGTCAGTGAGGTGGGAGGAGCGGATAGGTGGGAGAGAAGACGGACAGGTTGTGTCAGGTCAAGGAGGTGGGGATGAGAGGGAGGGTTGGTCTTGGAATGAGGCCAGGGGTGGGGAGATCTTGAAACTAGTAAAGTCCACATTGAGACCATTGGGTTGTGGGCTCCCAAGGTGTAATATGAGATGTTTGGATTTTGTATTGACTAGCTGTAGATAAGGGGAAACAAGCTGGGAGGACTGAAAGATACAGAGGTTAGTTTTGAAAAGCAATACTGACATTGATAGTGCAACAAGTTACACACTTTGATGTAGAGCACAATAGGTTTGTAAATGTAATTTCCTAGAAATTTCCATTTTAACTGGGTCTCCAAAGCTGGGGCAACTAGCATATTGTTCAGTAACTAGTTAAGAAGTGAAGGCTAAGGTCAGAAAGCTTCTGTTATGAGGAAATTGAGCTTGGTGTAGAGAATTTAAAGAAGTGAGGGAAACCACCCTTCAAACACTCAAAGCAAAAGACATGGGAAGACACAGAACTGAGAAATCTAGGAAAACTCTGTGAGCCATTGGGAACAAAAAGTACATCTGCAAGATTTGGACTGCCCAGCGTCTACCTCAGATCACAGATGATGTCTCACTGCATTCTGTTCGGTAAAAGGTTTGGACCAAGAACAAACATAGATTTATCAGCTGGTGCTGATAATTGGTGGTTGGTCGAGCAAAATGCCCACGGATTTGGAAGTACAGAGGCCACTCACCACTGAAGGTGTTGCCTGCTTGATGGTCTGGGGGTCGCTCCCGAATGCTGTCTCGCGTAGCATTCTGGCCCAGTGTGAACAGCAAGACTGGCGGCCACTGCACTCCAGTTTGGTGGCTGAGCATTGGTGGCACCTGCCTGCTGTGCCAAGCCACAGGGAGGGGCAGTGCCAGCGGCTTCTTCCACTGGCAGGGGGCAGCATGTTGGCTGCTGGTTGTGACTGTGCTGCCGTCCTGGCTGGCGCCACTGGTACTGGGCTCGCTGCCGTCATCACCTCCCCTGGTGCCCGGGGCAGCCGGGGGGTGACCCAGGGACGCCGAGGGGGGCTCGTCACCTTCCTCCTCCTCCTCCTCCCCCCGGCGCAGCCGCGGGGGGGTCCGGGCGATGGCTCTCTCGTTCCGCAACGCCTCCTGCGCCAACTTGATCACCTTGTCCTTGGTGCGGTGGCACATGTCGTACCATCTCTTCTTGATGTCCCCGATGTCCCTGGTGCACTTGGACACTGCATTAACCTTGGCCAGAATGGACAGCCAGATCTTGTTTTTGGCCCCCGGGGGCAGTTTGGTATCCCCTCTTCCAAAGAGTTGATCCTGGTGCAGTGTCACTTCCCGGATCAGGATCTCGGTCTCGTCCTCGTTGAAGTTGAGTTTGCGGCGGCGGAAGGCGTCCTCCTGTGCCATTTGTGGCAGCGGATCGCTAATTCCGGCGTAACTCAGGAGGGCAGGCTGTGCACCCTATTGTCCTGCCTGCTTGTTTCTTGTTTCAAGAGAATGTGCAGATCAATAAAAAACCAGGAGCTTTAAGATGGCGACTTAAAGTTGCATTTGCACTCGGACGGGACGTCGCATTTTTGCTGCGTCTGAAAAATACGAGGTTTTGCGGCGTCACAACTTTGTCGCATCGCCGGGAGGGGATGCGACAACATTCGGAGGCTGGGGATAGGAGAGGA